GGCGACGGATCTGGGTGGCGGCGACGGGTCTTGGTGGTGGAGGCGAGTCTGGGCGAGGGTCTGGTTGACGGCGGCGACGGGTCTGGGTGAGGGTGATGCTGGCGGCGACGGGTCTGGATGGCGGCATCTTAGGGTGGCGGAGGGTGAAGCGCTGCTGGGTGAGGGCGATGCTGGCGGCGGGTGGCGGAGGGTGAAGCGCTGCTGGGTGAGGGCGATGTTGGCGGCGGGTGGCGGAGGTTTTTTTTCCTGGGCGAGGGCGATGCTGGCGGCGGGTCTGGGTGAGGGGTTGTGAGGGCGATGCTGGCGGCGGGTCTGGGTGAGATTTTGAGTATTTGGGGATGGAGAACAGGGTAAGTGACGGCAGGGTGAATCAATTTAGGGTTTAGGTTAAATGAGGGGTAAACTCGTCCATGTATGTAAGTTTAGGGCGATAAATTCAAAAACTTAGGGCGACGAATAGGAATTCAGGTTTTCTGTTAGTGTGTGGTATATGATCCACCATTGAATTTCAACAACTTGAGTTATTGGGATCAACTGGTTCATAACATTAGAGTCTTATGTGACCGAGAGATCTTGTGTTCGAATCCAGGTAATCCCCATTTGTTAAGCACATGGTATGTGGACCTGTGCAAACTTCAAGCACTTGTGAGTGACTTTCGTTTGAGGGGGTGTGTTAGTGTGTGGTATATGATCCACGATTGAAATTCTTCTAACAACTCGAGTTATTGAGATCAACTGGTTTATGACACTTTTTGATTGTGTTGAAGTTTTAGTTACCTAATTCGCCAGATTAGGGTACAAGCTCGGAGCGACATGTAATTCGCGAATTATAGTTGTAATTGTCTCAAGAATTCTGATTATGATTGTATTATTGATAAGTATTTATACGCCGGAAAACATAACATAAAGTTATTTCTAAGCAGTGGAGAAACCCACTAACGTAAACTGAGGAACAGATTGTAACAATAACAAAGTGGAAAGAGAGGAGAAATGGGGAAGTAGTTCCGAGTATAACTCTTCCTTATCACGCTCTCGCAAGTGGAACCTCGTAGAGGTGAAACTTGGAGCAGAAGCTACAAAATGATTGTCGGGTGAGGGGCTTTGTAAGGACATCCGCAAGTTGATCGGTTGTGGGGAGATAACATACATGAAGCTGCTGCTTGGTGACCTGATCACGAACAAAGTGGAACTCAATCTCGAGATGCTTGGAGGGTGTGTGGAAGACCGAATTGTTAGCAAGATAGGTAGCCCTTAAATTATCACACCATAGGAGAGGAAAAGATGATGGTGATTGACCGAGTTCTGTGAGAAGAGCTTGTAACCAAATTACTTCCGATGCAAGAGTAGCAAGCGCCCTATATTCACATTCTGTTCAAGAACTTGCCAGTGCCTTCTGTTTCTAGTCGACCAAGACATCAAATTATCGCCATGGAAAACAGCAAACCCAGAGATAGACTTTCGATCCTTGGGACAAGAGGCAAAAGAAGCATATGAGTATCCATGTAACTGTGAATGAGAAGACCGTTGAAAGAGCAAACCTTGATTGATTGTCCCTTGTAGATAGCGCATAATCCGTTTCACTGCTGCCTAATGAGTATCAGTTGGTGAATGTTGGAATTGGGAGACGTGATTCACCGCATAGGAGATGTCTGGCCTAGTGAAGCTCAAGTGTTGGAGGCCGCCGACAATACTCTTGTATAAACTTGGATTATCAAAGGCTGGAGACAAGTCCGACCTACTTTGAATCAACTGATTAGCCGTGCAGGGGGTAGAGATGGACTTAGCTTGTGCCATTCCTGAGCGGTCCAGAAGTTTCAAAATATATTTGCGCTGATTGAGCAGCAACCCTGACGTAGTTTAATGAACCTCGAGACCGAGAAAATAGGATAGACGACCCAGATCCCTAAGAGCAAACTTAGAGCGAAGGTGAACCATAAGCCGCTGGATGACTGTCGAGTCATTGCCTGTAATGACAAGGTCATCAACATACACCAACATATATAGAAGAACAGAATCAGTTCTGTAAATAAAGAGGGACGAATCCGTTTTTTATGCGACAAATCCGAAGTCACGAAGAGCCTGAGAGTGACAGTGAAACCAAGCACGGGGAGCTTGTCTCAATCCGTAGATGGATTTCCGGAGACGACAGACAAAATCAGGGTGTTCAGGATCGACAAACCCAACAGGCTGGCGCATATAGACTTCTTCCTGGAGAGTGTCGTGTAAAAAAGCATTCGACATGTCGAGTTGGTGGATCGACCAAGCATGAGTAACGACAATACCCAAGAGTAGACGAAGAGTAGTAGGTTTGAGGACCGGACTAAAGGTTTCTGTAAAATCATGACCCGGGATTTGCTCAAACCCGCAGGCTACAAGCCGTGATTTTTCACGTTGAAGAGAACCATCGAGATTAGTCTTTTCTGCAAAAATCCAACGATTAGAGAGAATATTACAATATGTCGGGGCTGGAACCAAGTCCCAGGTATGATTCCGGACTAGAGCATCGAACTCAGTAACCATAGCAGCTCGCCATCGGTGCAATTTGAGGGCTTGTGCGGCGGTTGAAGGTAAACCAGAGGGGGCAGCAGCAAGATACTAGCGGGGCTTCAAATGGCCGGTCTGTGTGCGTGTAAGCATTCACTGGGGAGGAGTTGGCGCCGGCGACGGAACAATGCGAGGGGAAGTGTTGAAGGGAGGACGATTGGTAAGGGAGGAAGGTTGTATAGGTGGGGCTTTGGTGGGAGGAGAAGAGGTGGGACGATGGAAAGAAGGAAGAGGTGGAGGTGGTAGAGGAAGAGTAGGAGCAGGGGAAGAGGTAGGAGGAGTGGACTGGGTTGGGGTATCGTGAACAGAGGGTGAAATGGCCAAGGGAGAGGACAGATGAGGTTGGGAAGGTAAGATTATGGGCTCAATGTTGGAAATAGTGGGCTGGGGGGGGGGGGTGGTGGTGAGGAAGTGTGTGGGCCTTCGAAAGTAGAAGGGGAAAAGGAGAGATCTGGTGAAATGTATGGGCTTGGGAGATTTATGGGAGAAAAAGATCGAAAGAAATAAAGGTGGTTGGATCGATAGGAGTGTCCTTGTAGGGAAATACTGATTCATCAAAAAGAACATGACGACTGACATAAATACGACCAGTATACCGATCAAGAAACCGATAACCTTTATGTAAACCACTATAACCCAAGAAAACACATGGAGTAGAACGTGGTTGAAGTTTATGAGGAGTTTGAGGTCGAAGCCAAGGATAGCATAAACAACCAAAGACATGAAGACTTTGAAGATCAGGCGTTTTATGAAACAAAATGTGGAATGGAGATTGATTTTGAAGAAGAGGAGTAGGAGTGCGATTGATAAGATAACAAGTTGTATCAAACGTGAGAGACCAATATTTGAGAGGAACATGAGCCTGATGTAACATAGCGAGGCCATTATTGACAATGTGACGATGTTTCCGCTCCGCACAACCATTTTGTTCTGGTGTATATGGACAAGACGAATGATGAACAATGTCATTAGTCGTAAGATAAGAGGATAATGCTTGATACTCACCTTCCCAATCAGATTGAAAGGTTTTAATGGGAATTCCAAAAAAAATTTCAACAAGCTGGTGAAATTGGATGAAGACATGAGTAGTTGAGATTTATAACGCACAAAATACACCCAACTGAACTTACTATAGTGATCATAGAATAAGACATAATATGATTGATGATCATAGGTAGGGGTGTACATGGGTCGGGTGGTCCGGGTTTAGGCATTTTAATCACCCGACCCATGCACTACGGTTTGGGAAATATTAAACCCAAACCCACCCAAAAAAATCTAAACCCTACAGTTTATTTCTAATTGGGTTGGGTCGGGTTGACGATATTTTTAAGTAAAAATCCAACCCAACACAAAATATGTAACTTTCTACATCATAAAAATATTTTATAACAAATTAAAAATTCAAACGAATACACCGAGGTGAAAGGTATCAAAATTCATAAATATTGTTTGAATTTTAATAAAACTTGATTTACTTCAACTTATGTCTAGTTTTTTTCACGACATTTGTTGAAATAGGCTAAAAAGGTTACAAATGAACGCATCCATAATATGGATATTCTTTTAAAATTGTACACAAGAAAAAGAATTACGTGAATCATAGTTATATTAAATCTATGTCTAAATTTTAAGTCGAAGAATGCATTAGATTAGTGAGAGCTTAAGAAAAAAACATGGCGAAATATCTTAATTTTCTCATAAGTATGGCTATATACGACATAAATATTTTTTTGATACGAACTCATACCAATAATTGGAGCACGGGTTGGGTCGGGTTCTACGGGTTGTGTAATCCAAAATCCAAACCCAACCCAAAAGAGGCGGGTTGTACAAAAGAAAACCCTCACCCAACCCAAAACCTTCGATTTAGCGATAAATACGGGTGGGTTGGATCGGGTTGGACGGGTGGGTCGGTTTGCGGGTGTATTTGTTCACCCCTAATCATAGGAAAGAAGCACGATATTGGGAAGAAGGAAATGGCATTTTATGGATTTTACTAACAGAACATCCATGGCACAAAGAAGTAGAGTTATCATGATATTTTATTGAATGAGTAGACAAAAGATGTTTAACAGCACGGAGATTTGCGTGACCCAATCGCTGATGCCAGTGATCAAGAGAGGTAGTGAAGACACGAGGAAGAGTGCGACTTTGGATATGAAGAGGTAGGGAGTAGAGGCCGTCACGCGCAGAACCACGATAGAGCTCATCCTTCGTGCGGCGATCCTTGATCACAAAATAGGTATAAAAAAATTCAATGGAAATAGGGTTAGAACGAGTAAAAGAGCTGATAGAGAGAAGATTCCGAGGAGCATTTTGGACACGAAGCATATTATCGAGAACATAGGAATTATTAGAAAGAATAGCGTGAGAAGAACCAGAATGAGAGATAGGTAGGCATTTTCCATTGCCAAAGGTGACCTGATCAGGACCATTGTATTCAGAATGATGAATCAGATTAACCAGATCGGAAGTAAGATGGTGATTGGCACCGGAGTCAAGAAGCCACTTTTGTCTTTTGCGAGGATTGAGCAGGGTGGGAGGATTGGGCGAGATGAGATGCGGGTCCAGGATTGTACGTGGTTTGGGCGAAGATGTCCCTTCCCTCCGCAATCGTGACACACCAATAGAGATGGGCTGGAAGGCCCAGCCCTAGCACACCAGAGTTGGGCCGCCCACCTGCAAAAGAAGGGTTAGGAAAACGACTCGGGTTGAAAAATCCTCGGACACCGAAGCGAGCGTCTCTACCGCGAGAAAAGCGACCACCGCTGTGCCCCCCTCGAGCAGAATAAAAAGATTGCGGAGGTGCTACATCCACAGACGACGGACGAAATCATTGCAGCTGCATTTCCTCGCTAAGAAGACTGCTCACGTTCTCGGAGGAGATGGGCTCCAGACGCGCCGCAAGATTGCAAGTGAATGGACGGTAATCCTCGTCGAGCCCGTCGAGAAGGGCAGTCACCAGCTCCTGTTCAGTGACGGTAGCGCCGAGAATGACCATTTTGTCAAAGATGGCCTTCACCTGGTGGATATATTCATGGACTGTCTCATTGCCGCGAGATAGACGAAGCAGAGACTTGCGAAGCTGACCGATAATGACCGGAGAGCCCGATGCGTAGACCGTAGCGAGAGCGTCCTAGGCAGCAAGAGCTGTAGTTTTGTTGACAACCGTCGGTATGACGTCTTCAGTCAAGGAGAGATTAATCCAGACAAGGACGAGTTGATCATCCTCATACCAGCGTGCATAAGCCGGATTGGGTTGATTATCGGCAGTCATCGTCGGAGGAATGTTGTCGTCGATGTGGCCGATGAGACGATGGCACCGTAGCATAGGATAAATTCGGGCACGTCAGAGCAGATAATTGGTAAGGGTCAATTTGACTGTGAGTTGAGGATTAGAAGGCAGCATAATACGTTATGGGGAGGAAAATTGAAAGGAAGGGGAAGAAGAATCAGAAGTAGTTGAAGAAGTAGCCATGGAAGGAGGAAACAGAGAACAGAAAAGGGAAGAAGAAAAAGAGGGTTGTAACTCGTTTGAGTTCCTTAAAGCTCTGATACCATGTAATTGTCTTAGGAATTCTGATTGTATTATTGATAAGTATTTATACACTGGAAAACATAACAGAAAGCTATTCCTAAACTGAGGAACAAATTGTAACAGTAACAAAGTGGAAAGGGAGGAGAAATGGGGAAGTAGTTCCGAGTAAAACTCTTCCTTATCAATAGTTATAATGTTATATAGAGCCCGAATTTTCTTTTTAGAACCGCGAATCTTTTGATATAGGGAGTAGATACTATAACAACACTAGTCTCCAAACAATAGGAAGCTAGGGTTGTGATAATTTTTTATTAGCTGAGTTGGCCACCGGAATTCGGTCACCGGTCACCGGAATATGCTTTTTGTCATCGGAATATGCTCACCGTGGTCGGAATATGCTTACCGGCGTCGGAATCTAGTCATCGGGGCCGGAATATGCCTATCGGCGTCGGCATCTGCTCACTGACGGTCATCGGAGTTTGGTCAACGACCGCCGAATGTTATGGTCTGCATTGTGAGATTTATGGTTTGGTTTCTCATATTTTTTTATGCATTTTGTGGTTTGCTTTATCGTGTTTGTGGTTTCCATTAAGAAGTTTATGGTTTGTTTTAATATATTTGTGGTCTGCATTAGGACGTTTACTGTTTGTTTTTTTGTGGTTTGCTTTTCCGTGTTTGTGGTTTGCATTAGGGTGTTTCTGGTGTGCTTTTCAAAATATTTATGGGTTGCTTTCTGAGATTTCTGGTTTGTTTTAGGAGACTTGTGGTTTGCTTTAGAAGGTTTCTAGTATGCTTTTTAGTGGTTTGTTTTATCGCATTTGTGGTTTGCATTAGGAGGTTTTTGGTGTGTTTTAGAAATAGTTGTGGTTTGCTTTGTGACGTTTCTAGTATGTTTTACGCAATTTGTGGTATATATTAGGATCTTCATCCTTCATTCCATCAACCTCAACATATGACTAACCGACAACCCAACTTTGGGAAATATACAAATCCTGCTCTTGTCATCTAGTGATATGACGCAGTAAGATGGAAGAAGAGAGAGCTGGCTAGATTTCAACAGTCCATGATTGAGAAAATTGTTGAAACCTATAACTCGCCACTTACGGACGCGGACGTCTAAATCCGCCCGTTTGACAACGCGCATATAGGTTTGGCACCCGCAGCGCAGCGACTTGCAGTTCCGCTACATCTTCCCTCCGCCTACGCCGTACCTCTCCTCCGAGTACGTCGTTGAGTAACTCCCCCTATTTCCGTCGATGGCAGATTGACTCCCTTATTCGACGTTAGAGTTGCCGTCAGCAGAGGTCGGCGTCGATGTTCCGTTCTCCGTCAGCAGGTTGACCTCTGTTGGGTTGGTCCAACTCATATGGTGGTTGGATTAACCGGTTTGAGTTTGAGTTTTTGGTTGGTTTCTAGAAGATCCTCTATTTTCAAAATAGAGAGTTATTGTCTAGTCAAAAGGAAAAAGAGTGGACAGCCTTTCATTGGTAGAGAGAGAATCAGAAAAGAGAAGAGATAAGGAAAAGAGAGAAGGGAGAAAGAGCTGCTGCTTTTCGTTTCTCCAGCAGGGCAGCCTGTTCAAGCGAGCGTTCTGCAAGGTTGAACCGTTGGATCGTCCTGAAATTTGGACAGTGGGTTCGCGATTGGTTGGGCTTCATTTTGACCGTAGGGATCGTCATTCTGAGGTCTAGTTCGTCGGTATCGCTCCTGGACAGAAGGTGTACGAATCTGTCTTTTGGTATCTCTCAACCTTTTCTTTGTCTTACTCTTGTTCTTGTTATCCACCATGTTGGTGAGAGCTATTGTGGTTGATTGTTGATCCAAGAAGGGTGTTCTTGAGGTGTTTGTAATCCTCTAGCTAGTCTAGAGAGGACTTGTAATCCCACCAAAGTCTAGTGGAGTTGTGGCTTGGACAAAGGTCCCGTGGTTTTTCCCGATTTGGGTTTTCCACGTAAAAATCGTGTGTCTTGTGCATTCTATTCTTACTTGTGGTTGCTGCCCGGTTTCTCAACAACCTCCCATTCTCCAAAGAGAGCAAACACAAAGTTCTATGATCCCTTGCCTGCGAGTGGCGACCGGGAAGAAGGAGAGAAACGCCTGCGAGTGGCGAATGGAAGAAGCAGAGCGTCGCCTGCGAGTGGCGACCGGGAAGAAGGAAACCAGTGCAGGCTCTAGTCTGAGTCGTCTCCAACCAGGATTCACGTGAAAGTGATAGAAGCGAGGAAGAGGGAGGTTGAATAATTTTATATTTATATTTATTTTTGTGTAACTTTACTCATTTACCCTTAATGAATTATGATATTACTATAACAACACTAATGGTGTTGTTATACTATCCGCTCCCTTTCATATATGTCAAGGAATGAATTTGTTATTCCTTTCCTCCTCATAAAGCGCCGTTACTCATCGTAGTCGTCACTTAAGCCGACAAAATTGCCTGTAGCCAACATTCAACGTTCGGTCTTGAAGCTTCGATGCCATGAGATGTAGATTAAATTGCATGAAAGACCAGATACCGCTGATTGATTTCTATCATGGGAACTTAAATAGATATTGATTTACAAACAAGGGATTGGTCTAGTGGTAATACCACTAGCCATAAACCTGGAGGTCTCAGGTTCGAGTCCCTTCAGTAATACCTAATAACAAAAAAGTAACTTATATCACCCTTATAAAAAAAATAGATGTTGATTTACCAAACTAATGGAGACTTTTGTAAGGCAAATGCAACACGTGAGGTTTCATTTTGTGGATTTCACGTAACAATTTTATATTTTATCCAATCTATTCACGTTTTTTTTAAATCAATCCAATCTATTAAATTTTTGTTAAATCAATCTTGTCAAGAACCAGTTGATCTCAATAACTCGAGTTGTTGGGAGAGGTTCAATCGTGGATCATATACCGTTTACTAACACCCCCTCCTTCAAACTCAAGCCATTCAGAAAGTCACAGGTCCGGACACCGTGTGCTTAACAAAAACAGAATCGAACAGAAGACCTCACGTGAGGTTTCATTTTGTGGATTTCACGTAACAATTTTATATTTTATCCAATCTATTCACGTTTTTTTTAAATCAATCCAATCTATTAAATTTTTGTTAAATCAATCTTGTCAAGAACCAGTTGATCTCAATAACTCGAGTTGTTGGGAGAGGTTCAATCGTGGATCATATACCGTTTACTAACACCCCCTCCTTCAAACTCAAGCCATTCAGAAAGGCACAGGTCCGGACACCGTGTGCTTAACAAAAACAGAATCGAACAGAAGACCTCGCGGTCACAGAAGGCTCTGATACCATGTCAAGAACCAGTTGATCCAATAACTCGAGTTGTTGGAAGAGGTTCAATCGTGGATCATATACCGTTTACTAACAAATCCAATCTATTAACTTAAAAGTCCAACTAATACCCTTCATTTGATTCAAATCTAATTTGATTGATTGGTGGATTCATGAATTGTTTACAAATTATAGTTTAGTACTTATACTTTTTATACATTACAACTTATATCTAAAAATTTATTTTAGGATAAATACTCATTATTAGTCAAACCTTTCCCGCATTTTTTTTATTAGCCGAACCTAATCTTAACTTTTCGTTAGCGATTTTGTCAGTAATATTGACTTTGCAAAATGATACTAACTTGGAATAGACAAATGAAGGTCAACATTCAAAAACTTACGTATTTTAACTAAGAATAGAGTTACAAAATTATTAACGATAATATAAAAATGACTAATATTTTGATACATTACAATTTTTTTTTTTGCTAATTATTAGTAAAATCTAGGTTTGGCTTGTAAAAAAGAATGAGGAAAAGATTAGGATAATAATCAGTATTTACCCTTTTACCTTATTAACAAATAATTTTGTTTTTGGCTAATAATTAGTATTCAATTTTTTTATGATGATCTTTTAGTACCTAAATATTTCAAAAAATATATATTGGTCCACTTTTTAGATGTCATTTGAATCTATGACTTAATCCACCAATCTATTTGATTCAATCTATAAAACCATAAATTCATTTAATTCATTAATCTACCAATCCTCCATAAATCGAATTCCTTTGCCACCCCCTCTATAAGTTTTGATTTTTGAAGCGTCTTCCCACATAACTCCTTGATGTTTGCAAGGGAAAATGACGACATTTTGCTCTAATTGTAATGAGAAAAGACAAATGTTTTTCAGTTATAACTAAATCTAAGCGACATCCTTGTGCTATGTGGAGTTCGTATATGGAAGGTTAGTTACAACTTGTAAAACAGGCGGAAACAAGACCAAAATTCCTTTCTCCAAGATAATAATGCACACAAGCTACCAGCAGGTTCTGGTAGCTGTGGTCAAGAAAGAGGCGGATTGTATAACTCACCGGACTGGATTGGAGAAGAAAATGACAAGAAAGTACACTACGAACCCAGCCAGAAGGATCCCTCCATAGACGTAAGTTTGCGACGAGTGATACGGATACTTGTACTCGATCTTGCAGCACTTCATCTTCTCCTTCTCGCTCGACAACACATGCTCCACGTACCTGGCATTGGAAGAGAAGTCAGCACAGAATTCTCTGAATTTCAGCCGAGATACGGTTATGGAATAATGAGTTCCTTCCGCATGGGGACTTACTGTTGCGTGAAGATCGAGCTCTGGAGAATTTCCGAGCTGTTCAAGTGTGCATCCTGCAGTCGGTGATCGTACAGCAAAGATGACAGGTCGACAAGCTGCTCCTCGAGATTCTGTTCGTCAAGGAGTCGACAAAATGTGTTAAAACTTAAGAGCTTAGAAAGCGTGGCATTGGGATCAATAGCAAATTAGTCACTGAAACTTGAACTCCAACAGAATCCTAGTCTTGCAACTACCGTGCCATAGTGCATGTAATTAGCTGACAAAGAAGACCCATCTACATTATACACAATCCGATTCAAACTCATATTATGTGAAAATACTCTAATGTCTTCCTCTCCCTACCAGATAACTAATTAGAACGTATATGTGACATTTTTTATAATTGCTTTGGCAAAACACAGATCTGGGCAATTTAACCAAAAAACTCGACCGATAAACTAACCGTTTCCTTAATCATTTGAAACTTCAGTGACAAATTTGTTAAAGATCAAACACAATGAACAATTTCTTAATGATCTCAAATCTTAGTGACGGTTTATGTAATTGACCCGGAAGAGATTGTTATACTTACGTCGAGGTACTTCTCAAGTCGTTCAACCAGTTCATGTGGGAAGGGTTCAGGCAGGTTGGTTGTTTTCTTGTAGAACTTCTCCAACCATAGTTCGGTAGTTGTTTTGTTCTTCTTGGCTCTCACAGGCTCCCCCAGCGGGGTTTTCAGGTGCTCCGATGCAAAGACCTGGACAATCTGCCAAGAAAAAGCTCGTTTAATTTGGATTCAGTATGAAGCTGATAGATAGGAAATATCAGTACAAATCACCTCTGATGTATCACGGATCTTATGAAGTGCAGCATCCACCCGAGCATAGATCGTGTTCCTCTTGTGAAACAGAAAAGAGAAGAAAAATTAGCTTCAGAACTCAATCTCAACGTGCATTGTATAAACCATGTTAAGTAAATGTTATGGTCTTGTTATCAGATGGTGTTTGCTCCCTCTAATTTTTTGGTTCAGTTAGAAAATACCTCAAATGATGGTCCTGATACTCTATATTCAAAGCAGCATCACTAAAGAAAAACCATTTCCAAACACACCCTTTTCCCTTCCTTCCCCTAAAACAAAATTTCAGTTTCTAAAATTCTCAACGGCCATGAAACAAAGATAACAAATACAAGTATTTGATTGAAAGTCAAGGGAGTAAGAAGTAGTTAGTTTTCTCTTACCAATGCAACATCTTGTAGCAGTTTACTGGTGCGAGAACTGTTGGAAAACGGGCCAAATGGGTGACATCCAGCTGCAAGCAGCCAATTGACAACTGGCCTCTCATGCACGTGGGACGCCTTCTCATATGGGGCACTCAACCCACCCACGGCGGATGCGAGGCCAGCCATTATGTGACGCTGCGACAGAGATGGAAGGGCTGTCCTTCTATCAATCTCTGAAACATAGCTGTTGCAAAGGAAGGTATCCATGAGAAACTTCACACAAGGATTGAATTAAAGGCACAGCTACAAGTTCGAGTTCATAAACCTTAGAGGTACTGCATCGGCTTGATGTTGAAGCACAATGACAACATCGTTGCTAGTCCAAACGAGGCTCTCTTCCTCCATCATAAGTTGAGGATCCACATCAGCCAACGATAGCACGAAGCTGCAATACGAGAGTACATCCTAAGCATTTTTGTGAGGGTGGTTAACTAAAACAGAAAGAATAAGAACATTGATGCAGCTTGCCTGCAATAAGAGAAATGAAAAGAGCAGGCACAAAAGTTTAATTACACAGGAACAACTCTCGTCCCGTAAGTTCGATAGATATCTCCTTGCTTCTTCTCCTTTCTCTTGCCACGGTTAAATTCGTAACCAGCCCATAGAGGTTTATGTTTAAGAATGGAATCAGTAGAGCCATCAGATTCGTCATCCCAGTGCTGCCCAAATACACGATTCATTATATTGAAATGTAAACCGGATAATGAGATGACAAAAGCTTATACTAGAGAGGATGCAATCAGTTCTATTTTTCTTCTGCCATAAACTTCAGCAGCATACCTGTTTGAGGAAATATATACTAGACAGGGAGGGGTCAGCCACCTCGAGTAAACCAGCGGCAAGCACATCAGCAGACCGCTCCATCTCCTGTAATGAGGCAGTGTCAAGAACAATTTAAAGTCCATGGAGCATATGGGTCCTGACCATGGTTAATACAACCCATCTCCTGGAAAAAATTCCTGTTAGTAGCTTTCCCATTTTTTAGACTGACCCCAGGATTAGAGAAAAATTTGCATAGAGTTGATTGCATTATGTACAATGTACACATAACTCAATAAACAATAGCATTAATGAATATATTTTTTTAAGAAAAGAAGCACTGTTGAAGTGAAAGTCAACTCACTTCTTTGAGCATAGCACCATCCAGATATGTCTTGGTGTGAACATGGAAGCGTCCATCCTTTCTAGTCTCCTGTAGTGAATGACCACGCATTGCTTTGGAAACAGCAATGGCCAACTTTTCGTGTCGATGTAATGCATGTGAACCACCAATAACTACAACCTCTTGCTCATTGTGAACCATCTTCCTCAGCTATAGAAAAGAGATGAAGAAAGTTTGTCATAAAAATTCATTCATAAAGATTTTCAAGAATGTGAAGAATAACAAAGAAAAGGCTCCAATTCAGTCGTCCTACATGAACACAACGAAACCTCAAGTATCGAACCAATTCAACATAAGAAAGAAAAACGCCTCCAAACAAAATTGACTTACCTCTGACTCAATCTCAGTTGTGTCTATGCTGTAGTTATGGCCAGCTTGCATGATATTGTATCTATTATGGTTCTGAAGTACAATGATTGGTATAAGCAACCTTGTTGTCAGATCAGCAGACTCAAACCTAAGACATAGAAGGATTACAAGTAACAATTAGATTCTTAAAAGAACGTACACAACAATGGTTCTCACATCAACGTACAGCTCAAAATAACCCACAGGTCCACAGCAAAACTACAATTGATAGAAATGAAATATATATATATATATATATTTAATTGAAGGAAAAGCTTATTGAAAAACCTGACGTCTGGAGCTACAACATGCTCAACTGTGGTTGATATCAGAGAAGAAAGATGCCCAACAAAAATCTCATGACTAGAATGATCACTGATGGTGCCTATCCTTTTGAAAGTACCACATTCCTAATCCGAGGCATTGTTCTAGTACTGACGCTTCCCTCTTCTGTTTCAATCTTGCCATATGTACAAGGACCAGCTGACAAGTCAATCACTACAAACCTGCATACCAACAGGAATTAATCTCAAAGTATAAGACAGCTTACAGAAAATTATTGGGAAAATGTACCATTTCTCAAAATGACTAGCCCATCCAAGTGGACCCTGAAGCCATTTACTGATTTACATATACAAAAATTTACACCCCAAAACCACGATTAAAAGTGTCACTTGTGAAGAATGCAGCTAAAAATTGAGTTAGGAACTTGATTCATTTCTCATGGTCACTAAAACGAAAGAGGTAACAAATCATCCAATCAAATAATACCTGTCTGAGCTCAACCAAACTTGTGTTGCACCCCCTCCATTATACCGATACCTATAAATGTAATCACCCTCTTGTTTCTTCATATCTTCTTCAGACAGCTGATCAATTGTGTTAAACATCAATTTATCAAGATCAACCTCCTTGTTCCTAGGATCCATTCTGACCTGAAAAAAAAAAATGACCAAGCAAGCCCATCAACGAATCATGCCAAATACTACAAAAAGAATGGAAGAAAGCATACATGGTTCTGAAAAAGGGTATCTTAAGCACCAAAGTCCAACACACATTGACTCAGTCTATCATCAAAGGACAAAATCTTCATCACAAATCATGAAAACCCTTACCTTGTCAAAGTTAACGACAAAGATAGAAGCAGGATTGGGCCTATCAGGCTCTGTATGTTGTGCGAACCCCATGGTATCAGTGTCAAAAATGTAGGAATAGAATTTGTGAAATATAGGCTCCACAGCAGTCGCCTCCACTTCAAACAACGGGACCTCTCTTCCAAAATCAGTCTAATATACATTGTATCCATATCAGACATCCATCCATCCAAAATCACCAGCGTTATTGGTAAAAAAAAAAAAAAATCAGTCTCAGCAATTTCAGTTGAAAACCCATGCATCAAACCTCTCGAGCAGTTCCTGCAGGAACCATGGCCTCTTTCAATGCCTTCTCCAGAGCAATCATCTCCGGCTGCCCAGCCTGTTTGCAGTAGTCAATTATTCATCAATCTGAGTTCATCTGCATATCATACACACACCTAGGCTCCGACGAGTAAAGAATCGCTTACAGGGAAGACATTGTAGATGAGGTGATGCTCGATATCGAGAAGCTCTCCGGTCTCTAAGCAGGAAGGTCTATGAGTCGGAAAGCTGAGTTTCAAAAACTCTTCCAGTTTCTGCACGTCCAAGCTGTACCGGTATCCTCCGTCGCCATTGAAACCGACGAGAACGACGTTCACCTCCAGTGGGACCTGAAACGGAACCTAAATTCCGACGAGACACAAGTCAGAACAGAATCAACGGCGAGGAATTTCAATCCACGAAGAGCTGAAGAAAGAGGTTGTGAGAAAGGAGCAACCTCGGCGCGAGTGTGAAGCATGTGGCGGACGTCGGATCGGACGCTCTCTCTGACATCGTGGAAGGCGCCATGGTGCCATTGCGGATGGCCTGGGTCTCTCCTGAAGGGTTGAGGCGCCGAGTCAGAGCGAGTCAAGAGCAGCAGCAAGAAAGAAATCAACGGAAGAGTAAACGAGTTCGGGACCGATTTAACGGCCATGAATACGGCGCGGGAATCGGCGGCGAAGAATACGGCAGAAGCAGTAGCCTTGGCGCTCTCTCGGGAGCAGATGAGGCGACTAAGATTTCATTAGAGTGGAAATGGGGTTTCGATTTGATCGCCGGCTAGCTCGCGGGCCGGGTTGGATCCGGTCCTTAAACCTCATTGTTTAAGGAGGTTCTTAAACCATTTTTATTGGCTGATACTAGATTAGATAGTTAATGAGGGGTTAGTAGTTAATAGCATAGTTAGTAAAATACGGTACGGGAAAGTTACGTAAAAGATACGTACGGGCATTATACTTCATCTTTAAGCTAAAATTACGTTTAATAGTACGTTAATAGTCATAAATATATAAAATTAATCATTTTAAAAATAAATAAATATATAAATAATAGTAAAGTTAACAATTTAATTCGTAAAATACGGATAATAAACGTGTTATACGGGTTTTATACGTGTTTAGTACGGGAACCATGAAATGAACGGGGGAAAATGAAACGGCTTGACAATAATACGGATACGGAAGTTTTAAACGGATAAAGTACGTACGGGTACATATACGTGTATTAAACGGAGTATTTACTAACTATGGTTAATAGTTAGTTGGAATAAATAAGATATTATAAAAATATAATTAATATTACTCATTAATGATTCTCTTTCTCTCTCCCCCTTGATCTTCTCCATAACCCTCTCTCTCCACTACAATTAAAAGGAAATTCGAAATTAATTTAATTAGATATTATTATTTAATATTTAATAAATTCGAACTTAATATTTTTTATTTTTTAAAATGAAAATTAAAAATATATGCTCTCTCTCACTTCGTGGCAACTTGCAATACAGTATTAACATTTTGCAATGACATTATCAACATTTATGAAATGAATCGTTATTATTATACCTCATCATTATTAACGACTTCAATATACTTATCAATTCCTTACAATTACATTATTAACAATTTTGGATGAATTGTTACTGTTTTATAGTTTCGTCATCAACGCATATGAATGAATCATTAAAGTTATGTAACATAGTCATTAATAGTTTGAATAACAATATCATTGATTTACAACATCTTTAGTATTAATGATTCACATTTTCACATCATGTTTATAACTATCTAGTCATGGCCTCTTCCAATGATTTCTAATGACATTATTAACATTTTATGATCAATTAATATTGTCTGATGACATTATTAATGATGTGGAAATATTAACGGTCAACTGTTAAGGTTGACTGCCACATCAGACAAACTTAACGGAGAGTGACTAAAAATGGACCGTTTTACTAATTCGAGTGACCAAAATTGATATTAAATTTTTTCAGTGACTAAACATGACACATTTTAATAAACCGAGTGACCAAACTTGTCATTAACCCCCATCTTTTGTGAACCTTTTGCTCATGTTTCAGTGATACATTCATTAAGAATCAAAGTTCAATAACATTGCTGTCAAATTGTATTCTATCGGTATGCAAGAACCGCTAGGAACACTATCTATAACATCGAACTCCTAAACCAACAATTCTCGATCGAAAGGGAGCTGCAAACAGGATTTAACTTCGCGGGGAAGAGATTCATTGAAGTAAATAAGTAATAGTGGAAGAAGAATACATCTGAAGGATCAGGTATACATGAACAAGGAAAAAAAAAAAAAAGAAAAAAAAAAGGTTCACTAGCAAGTAACAAAAGTTCTGCCATTTCTTTCCCTCTCTCTAAACATGATTATACAAATTCCTGGAACTTAAAAAAGAAAAAAGAGAGATCAAAGTCCATTCTCAGCAATTAGTATCAGAATTTCCTTTCCTGCGCTTTCCCCGCCTCAGGAAACAGCAGCTCTACAAACATAATGATGGAAGGAGAGATCTCTAACTTCTCTCAGTGCTCCAAAGCACTACGCATGGAGACTGGAGGATGTACAACGCTGCCTCTCGATATGAGATCATGATTCAAGAACAAAACTACGACGGTAATGTCATCGTGGAAATGGCGCCTCACCTTCTTGTCGATCTTCCTCAAGTCCGAGTACCTCATCTCACGTTTCCTTGCTGCTTCCTGGAGTGCCGCCTTCACTAGCCTCTTCGCGCTTCCCTGCAGAAAAGGTAATGAACTTGTTACGAGGGCCGAAACTTGTTCGATCACTGGATCCGAGTCATGCCAAGTATAATACCTCATAAAAAACCACCAAGCTAAGTTCTGTTCCTAATCATTTCTACAAAGGAGCAGCAAAGGGACGAGAAGGTTGAACTGAGTGCCATCAACAAAAGATGTACAAATGGAAGATCATCAATGAAGTTACGGGTGTACATACATGTGTCGATTTGGTTGGATTTACCCTTTCCAACCTACTGACCCATGAACCTTAGTTGAGCTGACAAGCAACTCGAATCCTTGTGAAAAATAAAACCTATCGTTTTTACTAATGTTTGGCTTGGTTTGATTTTGAATGGTCGGGTTATTTGCAATCTACGCTATAAAAAACGAGCAGAGTCAACAAGGCATAATTAGAAAAGAAAGAAACAAGCAACCATTGCAGATCATCTTTATATCGACTCGATAATGATTTTACTAACTCAAGAAATCTCCAATGGTTGATTCTTAAGCTCGGTGGCAGATATGTAATGAGATATTGGGATGGCCTGGTTTCTTTCAGGCGTGACTCATTTCGAACCATAAACACCCTAGTTTTGCAGGACACCACCCTCGTCCACCATGAAGTTTCATTGGATTGGGTAGTGTACGGTGGGTTGGACTTTGGTTTAGTTTGGTCCTGCCATACATGAGTTTTTTCGCAGTTCACGAGTTAACATTCATCCGAACTACGCCTAAAACAAGCAAATATGAAGACACCAACAGTCCATTACACTCAAGTTATAAGCAAGCATGATCAAACAAAAATAACAATGATAAGGGGAAATGATAGTTAAAGGAGGGGGAAAGAAAGTTCTTACTGCGTGTGGATGGCTGTGTACGATATCGACAGCTTTTTCATTGCTCAAGTGTTCCCAGAGACCATCAGAAGCAAATATAAGAAATGAATCGCTTGGATGGAGAGGATGAGCCAGGATGGTCGGACTGGCACTCATGATAGGCATGTCCATTGGTTCTGGAAGCCTAAATTTTGAGTTTATTGGTTCCCTGTTAAACCGCGCATGTTTCATGTACACGTCTCCTATAGATCTTGAGACCTGCATACCAAAATACAAAGACAAAGTTCATAAGATTGCTGGTACAAGTGTCAAAGGATTCAGCCAGTTGTGGAGTTACAGAAGGTGAGAGCCAATGAATATAACACTTTCTTACTCGACTAACTAGTATTAGCTGTGATTTTCTATTTATAGAAAAAGAACATAGTAAATAGGTGCAATTCGTTGGGGCTTATTATATAGTTGGAAGAGCTTCAGAAGTTGGAGAGTTTTCCCTGACTACAAGTGTTTATTCGAAATTTACCGTCTGCTGATTTTAGTTGTACTGGAAAATCAATTTACTGCTGAAGCTTTTCAAGATGTATAGTTGTCGAAAGTGCAGATATCTCTTATGTTCTTTTGCTATATATAGCAAGCTACTGTTAATGCTAGTTCAGTTACAAAATGTTATAGCATCGATTTTTTAAGTTCTCAGTTTTCAACTCAAAATCCTAGGAGTCAAGAACCAAGAACTTTCTAATGATTGGCAAGAGTCAATCATACAGCAGTTTCTAACTTAATGAGCATCAAAGGTGACTTTCTATTTATAGAAAACGAACATTGTAAATATGTGATTTTGAAGGATTTATACAGCCGGATGAGCTTCAAAGTGAGAGGGTTTTCCCCGCTACTATTGAATCAATAGCTAAGAACTTTCTAGGAAATGGGTATGAATCAATGGCATAACAATTTCAGTTATCCAAAAAAAGCTGTATAAATCCCTCAAAATCACATATTACAATGTTCATTTTCTATAAATAGAAAGTCACATTTGAGGCTTTGATGCTTATTAGAAAAATCAATATAACAGCTTATAACTTAAATAATATTAACAGCAGACTTCCTAATTTTAGCAAATGAACATTGTAAATATAAGCACTTTGGGTATTGGCACCTATACAGTTCGAAGAGCTTTAACTGTCTATTGATTTTCCTGGCAAATATTTGTAAGGTGTTTTACTAGCTTAAAGAGCCAGCCTAAATCATATTCCTATAGGCATATATACACTGCAACACAACACATAGTAGAGAGTTTCGGAAGAAACATAATTAGAGCATCATTCAAGAAGACTAAAAAATATCAACCTGAATGATTCCTTTCACTCTCCAAACTCCATGTTTCAGCACGACAATCTGCGGATCATTCGGGTGCAACTCCTTGAGCTCGTGCCTGATGGCCTCAAGGCTCGCATTATGCTCGGTCGACAACTGTATAGCCGCCATTCCACCAGTATTCCCAACCTTCTTCCCCAACACAACGCGAGAGTCCCCTAGGTTTGCGATGAAAAGTGTCTGCTGATATATCACTCCCACCAGACAACAAGCTCCGACGGTAGCTAACTGAGGCCGAGAGCTCCACAGCTCGGAGACCACCGAGGTGAACCCTTCCTCTGTGGCTCTAAATGCTCTCGATATGGTGTCTGCAGTCACAGCACCTCCTTCTCTCTCCGCCAATATTGCTGCATTACCACAAAACCTAAAATGCCAACGTAAGCAAGACTAGCTCCATACATATTCATTCATTTCAAATTGCTAGAAAAAACAAGAAGCTAACTAAACTGACCGTCACTTCAATAAAAAAAAAAAAAACTAAACTGACCGTCAACTACTCTCATAAGCTAATAATAGCTGCCATGAGAATCAATCAATCAAGTTCTTTTACTGTAACTACAGATGACTGTACCACTATAAGCTCAATCAATCAAACAGAAAATTCTTGACACTTCAAATGGAAGCTGATCCAGCTCTGTAACTGGCCTAAACCGCTTAAAATACATGTACAAGGATGGGCAATAAATAGTAACCCGATCAAAAAAAGCATCCCACAGTCAACCATAAAAAGGCTGGTTACCCTTTTCGAGTAATCTCAAGATCGATAAAAGTTGAATTAGTCCCACGGATTTCACATGGCGGAAACAAGAAAATCGATACAACCAATCCAAAAAGGCCCAATCGACAAAAAGGGGGGAAATTTAATTCTCTCGACATGGGAAAAACGGACCTAGAAAGTTTCTGAACAAGTGATCGCAGACATAGCGAGCAGCTTCGGGCCCGCCATGGCCGTCGTAGACTCCGACGAAAGTTCCAAAGGAGCCCGACTCGATCTGGCTCTGGTCCTCGAGGACTTGATTCGCTTGTACAACAGCCATTGAGAAATCTCCAGACCCATACTTCCCAACATCTCTATACCAAAGCAAACCTTCCTTCCCGCCTCCTCCACCGCCGCCGTCACTCCGACCGAACGGCCTGAAGCATAAGGAAAGCAGATTCATCAATGCCTGAAGCATCCCACATTTCTCAATTGCACGGACCCAGAAAGCAGCTCGATGTGAAGAGAGGATAAAACGGAGGGGGATGAACCCAAGCAGCTGGAAAATGGCGGAGAAGAAGGAAGGGTTAATAAGAATGGCGGAGGAAGAAGGAATGGGATGCTCGGTGGTAGAGGGGCAAGAAAGAAAAGGTCATTTCATTTGGGCTTTGTTGTTGGTTGGGGGAGAGAGTGAGAGAAGGGAAGCAAGGAGAAAGAAAGGGGGGAAGGAAGATGGGTGTGGAGAGAGAGTGTTTTTCTTTTGTTAGGTGTTATTTTCAATGTCTTCTCTTTGTTTGTTATATTATTGTTTGTTTCCTCTATGCATATATGGGGTGGTTTGGAAAAATTGATTCTGTAAATGATGCAGTACAAGAATATGTGCATTAAAAATTAGGTAAAGCACAAGTCAAAACTTTACTTTCGCATTTGTGTCAATAATAGCAAAATTTGGAGAAATACTACTTATAGCCATAATTTGAAATTTTTGTGCCAAATATAGCCATTTCCATTACAAATTTTAACGATGTTAGAGAATCCGTCAGCTAGTTTAACGTTAGGCTGACTAGGACGCCAAATCATCGCACACGTCAGCGACAAATCAGCCACATTCGCCACGTAGGTGACACGTCATATTTTTAATTTAAAAACAAACGAACAATTCATATATTAAAAATAATATTAAGTAAAAAATAATCAAAATTTTATACTTTACTTTAATCAAATTAAATAAAAAATCATAAAAACAATAAAAGCATTAATCACTTCTCTCCACCCACCGCCTAGTCCTATATATTCATCTTCATCAACCCTAAACTCCCAGAAGCTTACTCTACTCTCATCACCACTATCGCCTGTTCATCTTCATCGTAACGCCTACCGAAGCCAGAGCCGCCGCGAGTCGCTGCTCTCACCCTCAGAATCTCCAACAACTCCGCCACTGCCTTGTCTGTTATCCCTCCGATTCTTAATCAACACCTCGCTCACGGACGCGGGGTCATCTCCGCCTCAATCTCCTTCCAAACGCCGACGTTTCCTCCAGTGGCTCCTCCTCTCATCTCCGCCACCTCCGCCTTGTAGAAGCCTGACGAGCCTCCTCTGTTTCCGCGCCGCTCGAGTTGTCCTTCTTGCGATTCCCGATCGGCACTGCGCGTCATCTCTGCATCAACTAGAGCAGCACCAATATCATAACATAGCCATCCACATCACCTTCGACTCACGCACCGCCTTCTGGAAATCAGTGATCGTCGTCGAGCCCATGTAACCCTCGTTGCCCAACTCGTTGTCGCTACTATTTATGTACCCCGCCCAGATCTGGGTTTGCGGTTTACAAATTTGGTCAACGCTGTTGTGGATTCTAATCATCGCGGCAATGCAAGTTTGGGGGAAGATCGGTGGGAAGAGAGAGGTGGAAGATCGGAGATTGGAGATTGGCAATGGTGGGTGTGAGGGGAAGATCGGAGGACAGAGGGAGATTGAAACCCATATTTCATCTTCTTTTCCCCTGACTTCATCTTCTCGATCAAAACCCCGATTTGTCGCTTTCAAGATCCAACTTTCGAAACCCAGATTTGCAGCGAAGGGAGAAAGTTGATGTCGTTCGATTGATTGATCTGAGGGAGCACCGACGGTGGAACTGGAACTTTGGGAGGTGGAAGACAGAAGCACGATCCATTCCTTCTCCCTCTGCTCGAGAATCATCCTCGATCTTAATGGCGAGTTCAGAGATTATGTAAATGGCGATTCTCCAGCGGTGATGGAAGAATTGTGAGAGTTTGAAGAATAGAGAATTGGGAGGGTTCAACTACAGAAAATCCCAATCGGATTTTAATTGAATGAGAGTTTCGGCTGGGGAAGGGATGGGGAAGAAGAGAGATGGAGAGAGAAAATGAAAATTATTTATTTTATTTATTTTTAGTTTCCACCTCAAATTTTTAATTGACTAACGGTCGCCAAAGAATTGGACAGAAGTGGCTATTTTTGGTATTTCGCCAAAAGTGGTTATATTTGGCAAAACCATCAAAGTTTTGGCTACACAAGTGTATTTTGCCTAAAAATTATGTGTATAATAAGAATGTGGAGTTTCGAAAATTCATTGTTTGAAATCAATAAAATAATGCATGGATTATAGTTTAAATGAACTATGAATACTCAAATCTCACAAAAAAGGTAAGATTATGAATACATCATTTTCTATGTATTAGGAATACATGCATACTGTTATTACATGGCTTGTTTGGAGAATGTGATTTCAAGTGAATGATTTAGCTAATACATGTAATGGGTATTTAGTCATTTTTTTGGTTTAATTTGTTGAAGAATACATGTAATACCTTTTAATGGACTCACATACAACCACTCAATATGAGTGATTACAAATCTCTACTATAAGTTGAGATTAGGAATGAGTGATTGTCTGACCATTTTTATGTTCCATCATTGTCCCTTATAATTTTCATTTATTCCATGAGTACCCTCATCAACCACACTCCCCCCCCCACACTTATCTGCTTGTGTACTTCCTAGAGAAGTAGGAAAATATGAGAACTCCTCCCTTGCTCCTCCATTCGACGATATCCCAGCCCTAAAAAATCTCCATATTAGAATTTGAAGGCTGTCAAGCACGACGGAGCCGGACCCAACTCTCGCCGTTGGAAATTCCTCGACAATAGCTCTGACCTAACTTTCGCCGCTGGAGACTTGTCGGGACCGAACTCGACGCCGAGAATTGATGGAGCTTGTTCGTTGTTAAGAAGTTCACATGAAATACTCTGCAACAATAGGTCCTAACATAATGGACTCTAAAAAACTCACCCTAGCTCTAACCCTATCGAGTTCCTCTTTCATCAGGGGTGGAAACATCTTGTTCTGTGCAATCTATATTTTCCAGCTGCAACCTTTCCACCATCATTTGAGAAAGAATTGATTCTTGCAGTTCAGTTGTCTGTTCCCTAAGGACCTTGTTCTCTTCCATCAAACGTGCATTATCCATCTTCAACCCATTGATCAAGACTTCATACTTCTGTTTCTCCTTCTCAATTGCCACATGTATAACGTGCCATACAAAAAATCGACAAGCACTCTCAGGCTTCAAACGTGAAAGGACCAATTAGCTAAGCAAACCATAGTTGAAACCCAGTGAAGCACAACGAATCTGGAACCACAAATCTAATCAACCCAGAAAATTATCTGCTTGGAATTCCATTTAGGGCAGCCGAAGAACTTCCAATTCGGATTACCAGGTGTATGGGATGTTCTGAGGATTGCAACTTGCAAGAGATCCACACAGATATTTGACAGAAATCTCTTCCTCGTTCTCGTCGGGATGTTGTTGGCTTTGTCGCGAGGAGCGCATTTGCTGCATAAGTCTGGATTCTCGATGGTGAACGTGTGCTTCCTTCAATTGTTCTTCTTCTCTCGCAAAGAAAGAGCTTCTCTTTTCTTCTATCAATGTAAGGGCTTCTCGTTTGCCCACTGGAAGTGAAACAATTGAAGAGAAGAAAGAAGCAGTATAAAGTAAGAATGACAATGGGGCAGGTCTGGGCCGGGTATCTTGATACCCATACATGCCTCGTGGCAGGTTGGGTCCAGGTCGGATAATTTATCATGGGGCGCGGGTCGGGGCAGATCGACCCAATGGATATGTAATTTATGTGAAAAAACTTTAAAAATATTCATTATTTTCATTAAATGACCAAGAAATAAACCATAATATGATAAAATGTAGTTAAAGTATTGGAGAAATTTAGGTTTTCACTTATTTATAACTTTATTATAGCTAAAATATGAGGAAAATTCTAAGTAATTTAACTAAAATTATATGTAATTTAGGCAAGAACGGGTCGAGAATGGGGAGGGTCAGGGCAGGTCGGGACAACGAGAGGTACCCATGCCTGCCCCGCCTCGCCGGCGGGTCGGACCCGCCCGAAAACAGGCTAAACAGGTCGGGTAAAATGGGTCAGGTCGAAATTGTCATCCCTAGTATAAAGTGAAGGGCAATTGTGACTTTATGTGCTTAAAAGTATTTAATTTTTTCTATACAAAAAAGTGCAATCCCATCTTCCAAACAAGGTATTTCTCAAATTTATATATTGATCCAATACATCTACTTCTAATACATCCATTGAAGAACTGAACGGCTAAACATCGCCCTAGTTTTACTATTATCGCCCTAAATTAAAATATAAAATGACTAAACTAACCTTAATTAACTAACAAAAACTCCATCATTAAAATACCTAATCTTCTTTCATCTTCTTACGGCTTGGCTCTAACCTGCACTCCAAAAACCATCTCATCGCCGCCGACTGCTCCAAACACCCATCCTCCATCCCGCCATCGTCGGACTAGTTTGTCAGTGGAGAAGAACAAGGCTAGTGAAAGCGATCGAGAATGGAAATTGTGAGAAGCGTGATTTATTATTGGTCCAGCCTTTGGTGAAGGAGTCGCCTCCACCGAATTTGATCATGATCAACTGAATCGTTTAGCAGGGGACACAGTTAATTTTAACGGGCTACGAGTGACATGTTGATCGGGCTGTGGAAATCGAGATATGCTACATGTGCACCGTGACCCTGGGTACTCGCGCAATTCGGCTTGCCCCCTTCTCTCGCAATTTCTACTTCGATTCTCCTTTTCCATCACTTGTTTCTCTATGTTGTGCTTCTCAATCGATAGTTTGAGCGGTAATTCAGCAGAGCGGGGCAGTGTGGCTTTTGATCGATTAATTGTTAGTCGGGATCCATGAAGCTCTCGTGGGCAAAACTCTGTGAATTTCGATTTGGTCGTTGCTTGTGGGTCAAATTTCCCAATTTTTAGCTGCTATGAATTCGGAGTTCTAAGGTGAAAGGCTCGTATATTTGCAGATGGTGGAGAAATTATATGGTGGTTGAATTTGATTCATCATGTTTTGCGCTTAGGTGTTTGGGAGAGGTTCAGGGCTTCCTATTAGAGGGTTTCTTCACTACTGAAGTGATTTTGATGGCAGTATCAAACCTTGAATTAGTTGTATTCTTTATCTGACGATTACCAAAAACAACAGTAAGTTCCACAAGAATAATGAAATGTACAGTTTATCCGAGAACATACTGGCTGAAAATGTCATAGGGAGTGTGTTGAGAGTAGAACAGCTGGTCATCGGAGGGCCAAAAGATGCAGTAAAACTAGGGCGATAGTAGATAAAGAACCAGAATATTTTTCAAAATTAAAAAGGATAAAGAGGTAATTTCCACTCTTAAATTAGGGCGATTACTGTAGAGCTAGGGCGAGAATTAGCAATCCCCTTGAAGAAGATGTATCAATTATGAGAATCACATCCTCCAAACAAGCCCCAAGTCAAAATACGTTGTGTTCTCAGGGTACATGTATACTGAGAATACAACATCTGGAAACGAAGGTTCCAACGAGCCCATATATATTTTTTCTTTGTAGATTTGTATGAAATCAAATGATACATGAGATATGGAAATTGGATTTTGTTTACGGTTAAGTCAATTGAGTTTAGTCTTAGAATCTGTTTTTGGTTGGGGTAGAAGAATCAAGATGAAGTAGGGCTTTCTACACCCAACGCAATTGAAGTGGAAATTGTTAACATTTATGTTACAATCTATCTTCGGAACAAATTCTTAGATTTCATAGTGATTATTGAAGATTCGAACACTCTATTTTGCCTAATGTCATAATTCACTCATTTCAAATGGTTTATTCTTTTTTTTTTCTCTTGCATAAGTAAATTCGTAGTGAATGCAAATAGTACACCACATGAGATGGTTGATCAAGATTCACTTACAAGAACTTTATATGATCACGAAACCAATATGGATTCAAAATTTGAAATGATTAATAATAACAAGTAAAGTTTATGATATGGAATTCATTTGCACACTACTAAAACACACTCTCCCTATACCACACATTTTTGTTTATATTTTTTTGCATTACTTCAGTCACTATAACTTTTTTTATCATACACATCCATAAAGGTTCAAGTACAAAGTCATAACATGGAAAGTAAAAGTTCGGTACTCGACCAATAGTTGAACTACCCATGAAATGCCCTTTTGTGCCACAAGGTGGGCAGCCCTATTACAACGACAATGAGCGAAGGAGCATGAAAATCCAGTGTAGTGAGGGAGAATCGCTAACATCTTCCATAATAACGTCGTCCAAATCATGTGTTGTATCACCCGCCAGCACTCAGTCGAATCACCAATAGTGAGTCAACGACTAAATGGACAATAAGAAATCCGCGGGTTAAACACTAGTGTAAGGCAACACAAAAAAAACTAGCACTTCCATTAGAAATGAATCATGAATACCATCACAGAGTTTACCGGATGCAAGTATAACCTTGCACAAAACATCAAAACCCACAAAATCGGTCCCAATATCATAATACAATACCTATCGTTGGCTGAGACGAGTCAGATTCAGTCCCTTTAGTATGATGTATGCATTGCCATGTACATGAAGGGGCCTCGAGAAAGTGATAATGAGGATGGTAACACACTTTGAAGATGCGAGCCAAACATCTGTTTGGATTAAGAAGATGCCTTCAACCCTATTTAGCAAGCAAGGCAGTGTTAAAACAATCAGTCATGAAATCCTAGCCCCCTTCAAACTTGCGTTGACAAACAATGGACCATAACACCCAATGAATGCCTTTCTCTTTGTCTTGATCCATCCACCACAATCGTGAGAGCTAACTGTTACACTTGCGACAATAAGTGGAGGACAATCTAAAGAAGACATAGCATTGATAGGATTAACAT